TCGTCGGGATGCCGCAGACCACGCCCGTGCATCTCTTCGACTTCTGGCCCCCTCTGGGTCGGTCATCGCGGCGGGGCCAGCTGTCCTCGGACCATATCCTAGTAGGAAGGAGCGCACGTCGGCCCCCACGCGCCCTCTCAGGGCCCCAAGAGGGCACCACGAGAGCCCAAGAGGGCTCCAAGAGGGCCTCATCAAAGAGGACCCCGCTAGGGGTGCCAAGAGGGCTCCAAGAGGAGGAAAATTGTAAACAACCAGCTGGTTCCCGCGTTCGTTGGTTTGGGCACCGAATGGAATTTTGTTGAAGCTATGCCAGGGCCCCTTCCGGGCCCCGAGGAGGGCTCCGAGACGGGCCCGAGGTTCCCTCGTCGTGCTCATAGAGCCCGCTGTCGTGGTCATCTCAGGGCCCAGGGATGGCCTCGGTTGGACCCTGGGACCATGACCCCACTAAGGCCCATCGCAGGGCCGCTCTTCCGAGTCGCATTCGACCGCCCTGCTGGTTTGAGTCGGGTCGCTGGGCCTTCGCGGGGCTCCCCCCTGAGGACGTCGCGCGCCTGATCGAGCGGCCCATCTTCGGAGCCCCTCGCGCCCGCCCCCATCTGGCGCTCGCAGGCCCAGCGCTGATGAGGATAATTGGACGTCCAACCCCACGTGCCCCTATCCCTGCAGACCACCCCATCCCCCGTCTGCTCCTACACACCCGCGACCCCACAGACGCGGCGAGGGAGAATGGGGAGGGGAGGGGGGGCGGCGCTTAGCGCGCGCGGCGTGGGTGGGTGGGGGGGGGGGCAGGGAGGGGACCTAGCGCGCGCGGCGCCATGAGATCACACTGGCGCAATGTATTATTGCACAGTCAGGTCTGCATTATGAACGTGCGCGGTGCTGCATTTCTGCAGATATTAATGCGTGCATGGATGCATGTCTGCATTTATCTATTTCCACATAACTGACAGAAACCGCATGCGAACTGACAGAAACAGCAACTTAACTGACAGAAACAACGCGTGAACTGACAATGTTGAAAAACCAGAAACCCTGAGATCGGAAAATCAACACATGCACAGAATCACATGCAAATACGATGCAACCACACTGCATCAAGCATAAGTTTATTTCCAAATCGTAGCTCGCGACCTATCGCATTTGAGCTTGCGCCAAGACAAGGCGCGTTAGATAGCACTGGCGGCCCCAACCGCACCGCACCGGCGGAGCGGCGCCTCTGCCGGCGGCGCGCCGAACGGGCGGGAGACCAACGCGCAACATACAGGGCCCATGAAAGCTCCAAGGCGGCCAAGAAAGACATTCGGATGGCCGTGCCCATCTGATTATCACAATAGCACGCGGGGCAAGTTACATGCTCGCAAACACGCTAGGCGCGTTACATGATCAAAGACACGCCAGATCGCTGTGCTCCTCCTCATCTTCCTCCTCCTCCAACTCCTCCTCCACGCCGCAATGCCGCAACCCCTGCGGTCCAGCAGTTTTGGTCCGGCCGTCTTGGAGCGCCCCCAGGTCCTTGTTGGCGCTCCCCCAGGGCCCCGAACGGCAACGGCGGTGCCATGATCCTCCAAGCAGGCCCGAAGAGCGCCCAAAGATGGCGTCAAAATGGCCCCGCGACGACTAACCGCCCCTCCGCCCCACTCGGCGAAGCCACCCCCCGCCCCCTGGGCCCATTCGGCGCGCCGCCGGTTCGCCGCCGCAGCGCGGCCGAGCGCTCGATTGCGCCGCGATGCTGCAGCAACTGGAGGGACGAGGTCGCCCTGCTCAATTTGACGCCTGTCTCGTTCTGAAGGTCATGAGCGAACCAGTCGCCTGATGGCCTGCCTCGCCTCGGCAGCCAGGGCGACAGGCTGCCCGCGCATGTCCCTGATCAGGCCCCCGACGTCAGCGCTGCCCAGGAGTTTGCGGGTCGCGGCGCCCGCGCGGCAGAACCACCGGCGCGCGCGACCTCCGGCGCGCCGTCGAGCTCGAGATTGCTCAGCATCATGAGCATTGCCCCAGGGATATCAGCGCGGCTGCGAAGGTTCTTCGCCCACTCGTCCAGCGACGCCAACAACTCGCCCGAGGCGCCTCCGCCCCAGCGCTCGACGAACGCAGCTATGTCCATCGCCGCGCCCCTGACGCGCCGTTTCGTGGCCCGCGCGCCCCTGGCGATCGACCCCATCGGAACTCGCCGCGCTGAGACAGGCTAACCTTGTCTCTCCGATGCAGCCCGAGAAGCGCCTGGATCCAGGTAGCCCGCGCTCCGCATCATGGCCCCTATTCAGGGCCTCTTGCATGTAAGATGCCAGCCCTGGAAAATCTTCATCGACTTGCCCAGTGCCTGGAGCTCGAGGTCAAGCGCGCGACGTCTGCCAGATGCGCCGCTGGCGTCTCGGAGGCGATGCCCATGTTGCCCAGGCACGTTGACGGCCTGAAGATTGTTGGGGGAAATGAGCACGTCGACCGGCTAAGCAGCCACATCGAGAGCTCATTCGGCAAGATGAAGGCGACTACGACGACTTCACCTAGTGCGGAGCGCATCAGCACCGCAGTGCCGATGGCACCGCGACGCTCGACCAGGACGAATACATCGACGCTCTGACACCGATCAGCCACGTCGACCTGGCCAAGGCCAAGACTGGCGAGCCGCCCGGAGGTCTGCTTCCAGACCTGTCTGTCCTTCTCATGGGAGCAGCGGCTAACGCCCTGCTCGCCCAGCGCCGCGTCGAAGCGCGCATCGTCGCCCTGCTGAGTGCCAGGGACAAGCTGCTCATCCGACGCGCGACGCAGCTCTATTCCACTGCTTCTGGCCGCGCAATGGATCACGGCGCGCGTCGCACTTCAATCGACGAAGAGCGCCCAGCGACTCAGCTCACATGCGCCTCGGCAAGCGCCGCCACGCCGGCGCGCGGGCGCGCCACCAGCTGGACGCAGTGAGCCGATCGCACAAGTTTAGCGCGCGCATGCCCATTTTTTTGTGAGCTGCTCGCAGCGCGCGCGCGCAGCCGACGATCTGCAGGCGCGCCCCCCCACGCTGCGCGAGGCGGTGCACGGCCCCACCTCTACCTAGGAGATCGCGAGGTTGAGGAGGGAAGGGGGGCGCGCGGGCCCCGCGGACCTCGTCATAGACGGCGCGCCCGTTTTAAGTCAGCGCCTTCCTCGTGGACCTTGTCCGGCCGCCGTCCGAGAACAGCATGGCAGGCCACCTGCGGCGGTTGGCCGACCAGCTACGCACCGAGCAGATCGACGATTTGCATTGGCGCGACACATGGAAAACGCGGGCCGACCCCGCGACCAGCCTGGAGCTCATCCCCGGCGCGATGGACGGTCAGATCATCTATGACCACTTGAGGGTCAAGTACAGCGACAACAAGCTGAGGGAGGCCGCCCCGAGCTCGCAGCATAGCATACCCACGCAGTCACGCGGAGACGACTCGCGACTGCGCCACGAGGTCACGCGGAGTCGGTTTGGCGAGCGGGCTCGTCCGGACTACGTCCGGGCAGCTCGCGGATTTTGAGCAGCGCTCCTAGATAGTCTCGCACAGTTTCAGGTGGGGATATATTGGCTTGATTCGGCTACTCCCTCGGGCTCTGGCGGGAGTGCATCCTTTCCTGTCCCCGGCGCCGTAAAACGTTTTTGTGGTTGGCGCCGCGGGGTGGGCCAATGCCCCCGTCGGAATGGAGTGAAGTCCGCCGACCTTGGGACCTGCTGAACCCACGTGAATTTGTCCCCTTGCGGCTAGGCAGTTTTTTAACGAGATGGCTGACAGTAGAGCCCTTCGGCAGCTGACTGTTTGATGTTTTACAAAGCACCATGGATTCGCTTGAGCGCAGGACTCGATGGGCACGTCCTCTTGCCCTGCTTGCTTCTCTCCCTGTCCTTCCCGCTGCCGCGTTGCATCTCAAGGATCCTTCACCGCGCCCGCTCTACAGCGCTTTGATGCACAACCCGTTTTACATCGTTTTACGGACATATCCCATCTTCTAACATTTATTATCATATACATTTCTAATCACCTCCTCCTCCTCCTCCACATCCTCCTCCATTATTATGCATAATTTCTCCCTGTCGCACCCCGAGGCCACTTTCTAGGGCGGGCTGGGCGTTTCGCCGGAGACTTCCCCACCGCTTACGATTCTGAAGCTTGAAAGTTGGCAACAGCTTCACAGATGGAGGGCGGGTGGCTTGCGAAATGCGAGTCTCGCTTTAGCGCGGCGCACATTCGTTTTGAGAGTTCGTGAAAGTTTCACGGATTGAGGGCAGGTGGTTTTCAAAATGTGGTTCTCGCCTTAGCGCCGCGCATATTCGCTTTAATCATCAGCAGAAGCTTCACGGGTTGAGGGCGGGTGATTTTTGAAATGTGGTTACCGCCTCAATGCGGCGCACAATCTTTTCGAAAATTTGCAAGAGCTTCACGGCTTGAGGACGGGCGGTTTCCAAAATGTGGTTCCCGCCTCAGCGCGACGCGCATTCGTTTCATCAATTTGCAAGAGCTTCACGGGTTGAGGGCGGTTCCTTTTCAAAATGCGATTATCGCTTTAGCGCGACGCACATGTTTCAAAACAGGTGCAAGAGTTTCACGGGTTCTCAGCATCAACGTACCCGAAATGGTGTTTGCGAAAAATTACGGATTATGCGGGTGCAACAATTACGTTGACATTATGTGTTGAAGTCCTTGGAATGGCGTGCTGGCACGATTCAGGATCGTCAAAACGCAACAGTCAGGGTGATCCGTGGCGTTAGAATTTTGAGAATAATGTTTCGGCATGCGCCAGGGTCTTCTACCAGTTGTTGTCCTCCAACGAGGCAGTTCCTTCAATGGGAATGAACCGCTGTAAGGGCCTATGAAGAGGGAGTTCGGAGGGAGTTTTATTCCAACACCGTTGATTATTATTGGGTGTACAAGGGTTTTCTTCCTCCTCCCTCCTCCTCTTTTTCCTCTGCTTCCCCCAGGCCATCCCGTGGCAGCCGCGCAGAGCGCGCGCGCGTCCCCCCCCCATTTCTGGTGGCTGCCCTGCAGGCGGGCGCGGCGCGCACCGGCGCATTAGTGAAGGTGGTCCAGCACAAGGGCGCCGCCCCTCCGGCACAGCGCGGCCGCGGGAGGGAGGGCGGAGGTCGACAGCAACGAAGGGGGGGGGGATGGGCGGAGGAAGGGACGCATCGACCCCCAATCGCCCATGCATCGCCGACACGGGCCCCGTAGCCCCACCCCTCCCGGGAAAGCGCGGATTCGCTGTCGGGGGCCCGTCACCGGTCTATCGGCGATGCATCGACGATTCCAAGACCATGATTCCCCTCTTGAACCAGTCGGCATTGACTCAGAGCGTGAATTACCTACCCCGTTTTCGCTTCCAGGCAAAACCAAGCCATACCACGCGCCTCCTCGTCAAGCGGCCTGACCAGTACGGGCTGCAATTTGGCGTCGTTTGGTATCTCTTGGAAGCGAGGGTGGTCAAAAGCGAGGTAGATTTGTTTTCCCCCTATTGACGTGGTTCTGGTGCCGTACGAATGATGGTTCCCGCTCCAAGAGCCGAGGGGCAGCTCTCGTTCAGATTTCTGCCGCCCTCCCTGGCGAAGGGAGGCCCAGCCCTGAGTCCCAGGCAGCCAAGCGCACAGAAACGAGAGGGCGGTGGACGGCGCGAAAGCGTTTGAAACGACCGTGATCCAGCACAGGGGCGCCGCCCCCCGTTTTGATCCTTTCCCTCCTCGTTGGGGCCTACGGCCCGAGAAGATCCAGAGCGGCGCCACGCGCACGCCAGGCGCGGCTCGTTCCAGGAGTGGACGCGGACTGGAGCGAGGGCCATCCGAAACGCAGAACGGATCTCGGAGGGCACACGCCCCACCCACGCGGGGACGGCCCGACCCCCAAAGGCCCACGGACCAGAGAGCCCGCAGCCCAGGGAGCGCAGCCCCTCTAGCGCAGCGCGGCCGGTGGAGGAGGGGGGAGGGCGGAGGTCCAGACCCCTCTCGGGTCATGGAAAAATCATGACGGGTGGTGTTTTGCTATTTTCGGTGCTTGGGTGCCCCAGGATCGTCGAAAAAACATTCAGGATGAAAAGCCGGTCCCGCGAAATGGGTCGAGATTTTGAGCGGTCGACGGAAGGGGGGTGGGGGGGGGACCCTCAGATCTTGGCGTTGTTATTTTGTTGGCAACGGGCCCTGGGACTCGCAGATCGATCCAGCGCGAAAAATGCCACAGGAAGATGGGGTCTGGGGGGTCCTGTCGTGATTGGTCCATGTGGTTCATTTTTTCGTCACGTCGGAATTCAGGGAGGGAGGAAGACGGGGAAGGGCGGAAGAGGAGGTCAGAAGAGGAAAAGATGCCGATGCCGCTACCCTTACCTCGTTGCCACGGTGGGATTCATTTCGAAATGTTGGTCAGATCACACCCTTGGAGAGGTCCTGGGAGTGGCGGCACCCCTTTGTCCCCTCAAGGGGGGGGGTGGAGGATGGGAAGGAGAGGACGGACGGGACGAGGCGGGAGGAGGAGGAGGAGGAGGAGGAGGACCAAGCCAGGCTGCACCCACTGCGGTACCAAAGCCTTCAGGGGTGGTAGGAGGATGGAGGAAGGAGGAACGCGGAAGGGGACGAGGAGGGAGGAGGGAGGAGGAGGAGGACCAGTGTAATCCCAAGACGCGTCAACGATGTTGCCCCCAAGTTCCTTCTTCATAGGCCCCAACAGGATTGTTCTGCCGAACCCACCGTCTGAGAATGCCCGATCGTGCTAAAACACCACTATTGTGTTGTAACGCAGCGAATCAAAGTTACTGTTGCACCTGACTTGCTTGAGTCGTGCCAGAACGCTGTTCCTGGGATTGCAGCACCACGAATCAGCGTGACCGCTTGGTTCTGACATATCTAAATCGCGCCAGAAAGTCATGCTTGGGACTGCAACCTTACGAATCATGGAAACTGCTGCAAACGTTTAAGACGAATGCGCACGGCGCCCAGGCGAGAGCCACATCTTGGAAAGGAACCGCCCTCCAACCGTGACATTGTCGCACACGTTCAAGACCCATTTGCGCGGCCCTCCATCTTTGAAACGGCTGCACCAGTTTAATACGAATGTGCGCGGCGCAAAAGCGAGAGCCACCTTTTGAAAAGGACCAGCCCTCCACCCTTGAAATTGCTTCAAGTTTGAAGCCTCAGGAAAATAAGCGGCGAAGAATATTAGGTGAAACACTCGCGACATGGAGGTGGTATCCGTAATCTATATTTTGCGAATGCGGCTGGAATCTGAACATATATATATATATACACAGATATCTGTACATATAGATACATCTATATATATATATATATATATATACCTACCTACCTACCTACCTACCTACCTACCTACCTAAATAAATACATACATACATACATACATACATACATACATACATACATACATACATACATACATACATACATACATACATACATACATACATATGTATATCGGAGTAGGCCGGGGAAGCGGGGGGCCAAAGCCGGTGCCATCATCCCCCACGGGCGCCCCCCCCGATCCTTTGGGGGGTCACAGACCCCCCGGGACTGCCCTGGGCCGCTTCCAAATTGCCCACGACAGTCCACGCGGGCCGTACAGATGGTCAAGAAAGCCTCAAGAGGCCCCGAAGACGCCCAAGAGCGCCCCCAGGGGACCCGAGATGGCTTGAAGATGGCCGACGAAGGCCCCAAGAGGCCCTTCAAGAGGCAAAAATCGCCCCATTCTCCCCGTAAAACGCACATTCTCAGCATACTCCCTTGCTTCGTCTTCGCAGTGCCCCAGACGCCCCCGAGGAGCCCCAAGAAAGACAGCCCAAGAGAGACCCAACACAGCCCAAGACGGCCCAAAAGGGTCGTCCCGTGGGGCTCACGGAACCCCCTCGAGACGGCCCAAGAAGCCCCAAAGCCGGCCCAGGAGTCCCCCAAGACGGCCTCAGGGAGGCCCAAGAGGGCCTCGGTCGAAATCATGTTCCCCGAAGTCTCTCCGGGAACATGATTTCTGGGTTCCGAGGACGCCCAAGAGGCCCACAAGACAGCCTCAGCGAGGCCCAAGAGGGCCCGAGATGGCTTCAAGATGGCCGCAGAGGGCCCCGAGAGGGCCTCCAAGAGGCACAAATCGGCCCATTCCCTTCGTAAAACGTGCATTTCAGCATACTCGCTTGCTTCGTCTTCACAGTGTCCCAGACGCCACCGAGGAGCCCCAACACAGCCCAAGAGAGGCCCAAGAGGGCCCAAAAAGATCGTCCCGTGTAGCTCACGGAACCCCCCAAGACGGCCCAAGAGACCCCGAAGCCGGCCCAGGAGGCCCCCAAGACGGCCTCAGGGAGGCCCAAGAGGGCCTCGTTCGACATCATGTTCCCCGAAGTTCCTCCAGGAACATGACTTCCGGGCTCCCAGGACGCCCAAGAGGCCCACAAGACAGCTTCAGTGAGGCCCCAGAGGGCCCGAGATGGCTTGAAGATGGCCGAAGAAGGCCCCAAGAGGGCTTCCAAGAGGCACAAATCGGTCCATTCCCGTCGTAAAACGTACATTTTCAGCATACTCGCTTGCTTTGTCTTCAGAGTGTCGCAGACGCCACCGAGGAGCCCCAAGACAGCCCAAGAGAGGCCCAAGACGACGGCCCAAGACAGCCCAAAAAGATCGTTCCGTGGGGCTCACGGAACCCCCCAAGACGGCCCAAGAGGCCCCGAAGTTGGCCCAGGAGTCCCCCAAGACGGCCTCAGGGAGGCCCAAGAGGGCTCGGTCGAAATCATGTTCTCGGAAGCCTCTCCTGGAACATGATGCCCGGGTTCCCAGGACGCCCAAGAGGCCCACAAGATAATTTCAGCGAGGCCCAGGAGGGCCCGAGATGGCTTCAAGATGGCCGAAGAGGGCCCCAAGAGGGCCTGCTAGAGGCAAAAGTCAGCCCGTTCCAGTAGTAAAAGTACATGCTCAGCATACTCCCTTGCTTCGTCTTCGCAGTGCCCCAGACGCCCCCGAGGAGCCGCATTGGCCCTGGTTGGCTCCCAGTCGCCTGGGGGAGGGGGTGTATATCAATAGGGAACAGTGATAAACCCCTTTCCGCGGAAGAGGAAGCACCCTAAACGACCTACGCCCAGAGGGCTGGTGGGATTTGCTCCAAACTCCCGTCCGAAGAAACAAGCACGAACACAGCCCCACGTCTGGAGATCGGCCAGTCTTAGAGGTCTGTGCCTTGCCGGAGCCGATGCTTCTCGGTTGTGCAGCTTTCTTCGAACACTCAGAATAGAGCCTCCGCCGGCCGACCCTCTGGGACGGCCCACGTCAGCCCCAAGTGGGCCCCAAGTTCAGCACTAGTTTCAGGAGGGGAAAAAACACACAGACACAATTAATCGTCGACTCCCAGGAAAATATGCAAAAATATGGGAAGTGGGGGGGAAGACAAGAACCCAGAAAATATGGGAAAATATGGGGAATCTTTTTATTTGTGTGTATTTATTTGTGTGTTTGTGGGCCCCTTCATAGTTGAACACAAGTCTGCCCCCAAAAAGTGACGAGGCGCGCTTAAAAATGTTGAAACTTTGAAGCCCACTTGGGGTTTTCGGACCCGCTTGGGGCCAGGGGCCACTCGGATGTCCTGAGAGGCCCTGACCCTCTCCTCCGCAGTGGGCTGGGAGCGGGGAGGGCACGACCTACTTTAGGGCCCCTGCCCTGCCAGAGCCGATGTATTGTGCCTTGCGCTGTGCGGGGGTAATGGGCGATCAGAGCCCCTGGATACAGGTATCGCCCCTTTAGACATTCACTCCTCGTCCTACTGTTTCCCTCCTCGTCGTCACCATCATCAGCATCATCATCAAAACCACAATCAACATCATCATCATCATCATCATCATCATCATCATCATCATCATCATCATCATCGTCGTCGTCGTCGTCGTCGTCGTCATCATCATCATCATCATCATGATCATCACCATCATCTGCATCATCGTCATCGTCATCATCGTAATCAGCATCCGCATCCGCACCATCAGCATCAGCATCAGCATCAGCATCATCATCGTCATCGTCATCATCATCATCATTATCATCATCGTCATCAGTACCACCATCATCATCACCATCATCATCGTCATCTTCGACGTCGCCGTCGTCATCGCCATCGTCACCGTCATCAGATCGTCATCATCCTCGTCATCAGCAGCAGCATCATCATCCAGTCATTAGACTATCCTACTGCTCCTCTCCCTCCCCATCCTCCTTCCTCCTACCCCTTCCTGGCAAGGACAAAGAGGGTCCACAGGGATTACTTTCAAGGAAGGACGAAGAAGCGAACAAATGGGGAAGGGAGGGAGGAGGAGGAGGAGGAGGCGAGGGACGCGCTGGCTGCCTTGCGCGCGTAGTTGCACAAACGTGCAAAATAGGGTGACGCAAGCATTGTCCACGCACCCTGCTCCTGATGAGTCCTAATGGCCAGGCTTCAGCAGTCCGTGCTGGCTCGCCCCTCCCTGGCCTCGGTGGTTCAAAGATGGGGTCCTGAGGGACGGGGACACAAGGGTAGGAAGGTATCCAAAGGTGGATTGCATTGTTTGAGGCACCTCGTCCTTAGGAACCGATCCCTCCGGACCCCACTTTTGAACCACCGACGGCCCACTCCTCGTTCGGCAAGGGTTGCAGGGGCATCTTCCAGCTGCGTATGCCGCCGCGCAGGCTTCGGCTTCATCCTGCCGGACGGTGCGCAGGTGGCGGACGTGTTGCTCCATTGTTCCCAGCTTGCAAGGCAGAGCGGCGCAGCTGAAGTCGTCACATCGTGCTTATGTCAGATCATGCAGTAGATTCGTGTCGCGTCGACGCGGCAGCGACACCGCCGCGGGCGTTCAAGGTTGATCGCCGCCAGTGGCCCAGAATCGGTCTGATATGGAACGACCTTACGATCGAAGGGCCGCAGATCGTTGAAAGTTGAACGGTCTACGCGGTGTCAGAGACCACCTACGGCATCGCGACCTCGAATTTTCCATATTCTTGCCAGCGCCCTGGTCTGGCCGCGAGTTGCCGACCGCCACCCTGTCCAGTTGTAGCCTCCGTGCGCTACCACGCAGTCAAGATGCCAGCGAAGGGCCGCACCCAACGGGCCATTGGGAGGCAGGGGGGGGGGCTTTCACCCTCATCACCGAGTCCACGGCCGCGGCCCCCCCAAGAGCTTCTGCGGAGAAGACTTCTGTGCATCTCCCCTCTGAGCCATCGCCCCCCGCTGCGCCTCTTCCGCCAGAGAGGGGCCAGAGGGGTCTGGGTCGTGCACCTGACTACGTTCGTGAGGCATTTCGCCCCTTACGCGCATTGTGTTTTACACCGGACTTCAATAGTTGTGTTGTTCGTATGTTTTGCAATCCGATTGTTTCCGGTGTTTCAAAATGGTGTTAGCGTTGCGGCGTGGGACTCAGTTTCGGATCGGCGTTGTGCCCACGTTGTTCAGAATGTCGCTCACGCCCCAGCGTGGGCTACTGTCCTGGATCCGAGTCATTCTTCATCGTTGTCGCCCCCCTCACCTCTCCCTCCGCCTTGCCCTGCTCCTCCTGCTCCTCCCGCTCCTTTTCCACTCCACATCTTGGGTCTGCTGTTGGTCATCGTCCTGCTCCTTCCACATCCTCCTCCGTTTCTTCCTGCTCATCCTCCTCCTTGCCCGCCACATCCTCTTCCTCCTCATTTTCCTCCTCCTTGTCCTCTTCCTCCTTCTCCTCTGCACGCAGGTCCCTTTCTTTCCAATTGCGCATAGCACGATAGGGCCTGTTTGCTGGATTTCCAGGTCGGCTATGACACGCGTCCGCCGATAGAGACAAAATCAGAGCAATGGGAAGGGATGGGAGGGAGGGATCCGATGTCAGCTGTGGCGCGAGTGCACCAAGCTTGCTCCTCCCCCTCGCCACTTATCCTTCCTGGTTCGCTTTTCCTGCCTGTTCTCTCCTGCCATCCTCCTCTTCCCCCCGATGAAGAAGAGTTGATCGTAAGGGGGTGGGAGGAGGAGGAGGAGAAGAAATAAGAAGAAGGAGGATAAGGAGGAGAAACAAAAACCGAAGGGGAAGAGCGGAGGAGCGGGAAGGGCAGGGGGGAAGAGCGGGAGCAGTGGCCAGTGGTAGAGCGGAGGAGGGGGAGAAGGGCACCGCACTTCCCGCCTCTTCGTCCCCTTGTCTCTTGCAAGCGCAGGGTGGATCCCCACCGTTCCGCCCTGCCTCCTCACACCCTCGTCTGATCGATGCGCTCGCTCGCTCGCTCAATCGTTGGAGGGCTGCGGAGTTCGATTCCCCGTGCCCGCGAGATAGATCATGGACAGAAGGATGGAGGTCTGACGCGTCCCACCCGCTGCGCCTGCGACTTGTCGGGGCGGCCAAAGGGGGTGCTGACCAGGGGGGGTATCATGGCTATGGCCATGCCATCTTTCCAGATGTCATGGTGCCTCTTCTCATTCCAAACCCTCCTGCGTTGGGTTCTCGATTTGAATAGAGCACTGCGGTCTCCATCTCCCTCTTGCCTCCCTTCTCCCCTTGTCTCCTGCCTCTCACCTCGCTCCCTCCCGCGTGCCAGCTTACCTCCTGCCTGGTCATCCATGCGGGGTTGCGATCTGCGAAACTGTCGCCAGTTTCAAGGGCTGTTGGGGGTTTCAGCGGAGTGGCGTCCTACGCAGACTCAGATTAGACCTCGCCATCCCTGTGGGGCTGCGATATGCGAAGTTGTCGCCACTTTCGAGGGCTGTTGGGGGGTCCAGCGGGGTGACGACCCACGCAGATTCAGATTAGACCTCGCCCTCCCTGTGGGGCTGCGATCTGCGCAATTGTCCCTACTTTCGAGGGCTGCTCAGGGGTTGGGCGGAGTGACGTCCTACGCAGACTCAGAGTAGACCTCGCCATCCTTGTGGGGCTGCAATATGCGAAACTGTCGCCACGTTCGAGGGCTGTTGGAGGGTCCAGCGGAGTGACGTCCCAAGCAGACTTAGACTAGACCTCGCTATCCCTGTGGGGCTACGATCTGCGAAAGTGTCGCCCCTTTCGAGGGCTGCTGGGGGGTCGGGCGGAGCGCGGTTCTACCCAGATTCAAATTAATCCTCGCCGCCCCTGTGGGGTTGCGATTTGCGAAACTGTCGCCAGTTTTGAGGGTTGCGGGGGGGGTCCAACGGACTGACGTCCCACGCAGACTCAGATTAGACCTCGCCATCCCTGTGGGGCTGCGATATGCGCAACTGTTGCCACTTTAGAATGCCGTTGCAGATCCAGCGGAGTGACGTCCAACGTCGACTCATATTAGACCTCGCCATCCTTATGGGGCTGCGATCTGCGCAATTCTTGCCAGTTTCGAAGGGTTTTTGGGGGGTCCAGCGGGGCAATGTCGCGGGCCGCCCGCAGTCCTGGCGGCGCGCCTTCGAGCGTTTAGCTACCGCAGTGAAAGGTGCGGATGGAAGCAAGGAGGCCGGCGGCCGAGCTAGGCTTCGCTCGCATCATGCACAAATCGTACGCGTGTTGTGGTATTATCTGGAGGTGAACCCGTGGAGCCCAGCGGAGCCCGCTTAGCCCTGACCCTCTATGCTCTCTACTTCATCTACTTCCTCTCCTGAGTATCCTTTCCTCTGCCGCCTCGCCCGCTGCCCGACACCGTCTCGGCCCACAGGCCGGCCTTTCGAGCTCGTTGCACCGGGCACGAGACCCCCCCGCTGATAGCCTTGGCCCGCACGGGGACGTGGATGTGATAAACAAGCTTATAATTATATATATATATATATATATATATATATATACATATACATATACATATACATATATATGTGTATCCGATGCGCTTTTAGATTAGTTTTGCGGAGCCATTGGTTGCGATTGCGTGGACGTGGCCGAACGCCCACCAGGACCTTCAGTGAGCCCAGGCGCTGCAAGATGAACGACCACGGAGCTGGACGCCCCTACTACCGTGACGATGTGATAGTGGTGGATGGAGATAGTTTGCCCCATGACACAGGCGCCAAACCAGACCTGCTCAAGGAATACAAGAAGCGAGTCACCCTGGCATTGGCGCATCTCGAGGGTAGTGGCACTGACGACGAGAAGATTGCGATGAGCCTCGAGAAGAAGAAGCGACGGTTCAGAGTGAATCAGTTGGACGGTTTACATTGACGAGCATGGTGTCGAGCAGGGCACGTCGCCCAGGAGACCGACGAAGTACGACAAAATGGCGGAAACAAGAGGATCTTCGACGGTCTGGCGACCTTGGACACATAAGCGATCGTGAAAAAAAGGGCATGGCGTTCGATTGCCTCTCCAAGCGGGGCCTTCGGAGACGCGGCATGGACATGGGCGATTATCTATCCAACAAAGAGAAGTTGCGGGGAGACTTGTCGGAGAGAGACGAAAACACCATGCTCTCGGACGACCTGATGGCATTCTTTCTATCGGACGGAGCGAATCTCTCGGACGATCAGAAGAGGAACATCGCGCTCAACAACGGCTCGGAGTATCGGCTCGAGACGCTTCAACACAAGTTGAGGGTGAATTTTCACAACGCGCACGAGAGAGAGAGAGAGAGAGAAGCAGACAGCGACGACGCACAACCAGAGGGTGGAAAAAAGGCCGACCACGCCGAGGACGCATCAAAGGACGAGGACATCCCGGACGAGGAGTTCGACGAAGGAGCGAACGCAGCAGATGACGACGGCCCAGATTTCGGCAGCGACGCAGGCGCGAGCAATGACGACGAGGTCTCCGAGGCCCACAGCGCGCGCGGTGCGGCCAGGAAGAAGCTCGAATGCACGCGGAAGAGACGAGGTTTCTTCGCGGGCGAATTGGGCTTCGAGGAGCGCCAGGAGCAGATCAATAATGGGAAGAAACGGGCGCGGCGGAGCGCGCGGGCGCATCGGACACTGGGCAGGCGACGCTGCGCGCCCGAAGTATGGGCAGCAGGGGGCCGAGAAACCCGGGGGCGGCAAGGGCGGAACTAAGTCCACAGGTAGAGCCAAGCCGAGCTGCGGAGGCAAATCGTATTTCACGTTTGCTGGCACCGCCGACGAGGACGAGTTTATGGAGGAGGCGACGGCTTTCATGGGATTGGGCGAGGAGCACGGGGGCGACCGCGACGGGATGGCTGACGAGCACGGGGGCGAGCGCGACTCGTTCTACCAGGAGGCCGACGACTTCGAGACTCGACGACGCCGCAGGAGGGAGCTCAGCCCGAACGAGATGGAGAACGCGAGGGCGACGATCATCACAACGGGGACTACGACCGCGATCGCAAGATGTCACAGGGAGCAGATACTGGAGTGGCCAGCAGCAGCGGGGAAGCAGCGCCAGCCCCGACGCGCGCGGAGATCCCGACGAAGCCCCACTTCCAGTCCTGAAAGGCCTGCGAGCTCGGGAGCCACCTGGATGAACTGGGTCTGCAGGTCAGCGGCGCGAAGGATATCCTGATCGAGAGGCTGGAGGACACTACGCGAGACGAGATCAGACCATGAAGGGCTGCAGCATTGCGGAGACGGCAGCGGCGCACACAACCGGAACATCGTCTAGAGCACCGGGAGAAAACATCAAGTGCGCCGATTCCGGGAAGTACGGACATCACGGAGGTAACATGTTTTGCTCGCTCCACGCCGAGATGAGGGCGCCCCAGTCCGCAAAGCAGCGCCCGGAACCTGCGAAGGCCAAGGCTTTGGCTTCGGTCGCGGAGAACCCCCTGACGAAGCCGAGCCTCGTGCGGCACAGAAGGAGATGGGCGTAGAGACGAAGAAAGGACCTACCACGTCATCGACATCGAGAGCGTCGACAGCCCGGGAATTGATCGACGAAGACAACGCGTTAATCGAGCAGCTCGCGCGCCCGAAGTGTCGCCGTCAGGGGGCGCAGGTGAAATCCGAGGGAGTGGATGGCGCGAAGTTGCACGGGCGCCTCGATTTCAACGCCACCATGAGGCGCGAGTGCACGCGCAGTTGGGGCGCGGGTCAGCAGACGCCGCGGGGCGGCGGCCAAGGCCGCTGTTCGCGTCGCGGCTAAGCAAGGGCAGGACCGCGGAGGAGGCTCGACGCCCCTCGTGCGCGGGCGCAAGGCGTCTCGAGGAGCTTGAGGTCAGCAAGGACGCGGGCGGCAATTTGGGCAGTGCCCGACGAGCCCGCCGCCGAGCAGCTCGACGCGCAGTTCGCCTTCGCCGTGGGTCGAGCTGACACTGCAGTTAAGCGTGAGTCTGCGGCCCTTGCGGACACGGCTTGCACCCCTTGCATGCGCAGCAAGCATTGGAGAGAGCGGTTTGAGGTGCACATGCCTCCCAGCCTAGCCTGCAGGAAGACGGACGCCAAGCGTCAGTTTGATTTCGCGAACGGTTCCAAGCAGAAGGGTTACGTCTACGTGATTCCGATTGGTATGAGAGGTCCCAGGGGCGAGGCTCATTCGACGGAGATCCTTACGGGGACTACACCACTTCTGATATCCATTCCAGCTCTCGATACGTTGGACGGCCACATGTGCATGAGAGACAATAATCTGGAGATGTCAGCTCTAGGGATCACAGTGCCTCTGATCAATACGAAGAGCACACTCCACCTGGGCATCGACGCGTCGCATCTCGGCGATGACTAGGACGCTAGACTGCAGAAGATTGACCTACATAAAGGCTGCGAGAGGCGACGCCACTGTGCACCTTACCAGCTGCATGGACGAGGTCAAAGGTGGCTACGCGCACCTGGAGAACGACGATGACGACGACGAGGGCGGCCTCGCGCACCAGGAAGGCATCGATTGCCACGACGGCAAGCTGCAGGCAATTACGTCGCCACGCTGGGGCGAGAGCTCGAGCCAGTCAGGGCGCGAAAGTCGCGAGCTCTGCCAGGGCGAAGGCTCGGGCGTCTCACTGGCAGCGAGAGGTGCACGGATGACCGGTGCGAGAGGCGGGCCCACCAACCGAAGGGCGCAGGAGCTGACAGCAACTGCCTCGAGAATCGCAGATCAGCGCAAAAGGACCTGGGCCGCCCTGAAGAAGGAGGAGTGCGCGCTCGCAGAGAAGATGGCCACACCATGGTTCAAGAAGGCGATGATTTTCGAGCCCTGGGGCTGCAGTTTTATCCCGACACGAGTGGCATCCTGAGTTCTTTCGGATGGACCAACTCGCAGCCGTTTGACCAGATCGACCGCTACGACGCGATGACCAAGCAAGGTGAGGATTTGCTCTTCGAGATCCGAGGGGAACGCGAGCCGCTCCTCACCGCCATCGCTATCGATTGCCGAGCACGGTCTGCGATGGTGAACATGTCCCCGACAGTGGATTGGAAGGCCTCGCGAGAAGCTCATGGAGTGCGGGCGCTCAAGCTGGCGAAGCGAATATGCCTACATCGAAGGAGGGAGAAGCGATATTCCTTAGCAGAGCAGCCGCGGCCAGCGGCATCATGAAAGTACAAGGACATCCTAGCGGAGATCTACGAGCTGTCGAACGTCTGGTTCACCTCTGAGCCCAGCGCGGCTTCGGCAAGATGGACACCGACAGCGGGGAGCCCATTCAGAAGCTGACCGGCTACCTTGCGCACAGTCAATGCGCGTTCAAGAAGCTGGCCACCCCCTGCAAGTGCAAGACTGGTCGCGAGATGGCGGAGGGCAACAATTCTGCCGGGAAGAGAGCAGCTCGGGCAGCAGCGTACCTTCCGTAGATGGCGACGGCGATCTGTCAAGGCGCGAAGCACCATATGGAGATCGACAGCGCGGCCGCCCTCGCCAAGGGCCACATGGGGTCGGGTCCCCCCGTGAAGGACGAACGGCCAGTGAGCCCCCCGTCAAAAGGGCCCGACGCGGAGCTAAACTATTCGGAGGGATTGGCGGACTAAAGCAACGAGTTGCACGGAAAGGTGGTTGGGCGCCCATGCCCAAGAGAAGGCCGACCGAGTAATGGAGAATCAACGGGTTCGTCGATTTCTTCTCGCCCCATACGCCGCCGCGGCCCTCGGCGGACAAGGCTGCCGAGATCGCTGAGATTGCGGGGGCCACCGCCGCCGTGAAGTTGCCGATGATAAGACGGGGCCCTCGTTCTCTGCTTGCAGCGGCGCCGCATCTGCACGCGTCTCAAGCGCCGACGCGGACGGCTGACGTTCCGGGCGAGCGCGGGGCATGGTCCGAGCCCGGCTGGGAGGACTGGACCAACCTATCTCCACCGCAGCGCGCGATGAAGATCGCCGGTGCCGACATTCTCATCACGGGCGCGCGGCCCACAGCTCGGCGAGGCGGAGGACGAAGGGCAGGATAAGGAGACGACCAGGAAGGTGCGATGGGCTCAGCTACCGCGCGACCCGATGGCGGCGACCCGAAGGCCACATGAGAAGCTAGGGCATGCGCCAAAGATCGAGATGCTGAGGGCCCCCAGGAATTCGAGAGCCTCGGAGGCCGCGATCAATGCGCGCCGACTCTTCTCACGCGAACACTGCGAGCGCACGAGACGACCACTACTGGCCAAGCCGAGCAAGTTGCCGACAGCTGACGAGTTGAACGCAGCCGTAGGCTTCGACATCTTCTCCGAGAAGGATGCGGACCAGGCGGAATGGCAGTTCCTGAACAGTCTGCATGTGTGGTGCTCCTTCCAGGCGGTTGCTGTGCTCGGCGAGGTGCATGAAATGACGGGTCCAGTCACTGTGCTCACGAGTTGTGCTGGGCATCTTGGGCAGGCGAGCCCGAGTCTGGAGTCATTTTCGACAGGGCAAAGGGTTTCCTTGGCAGTTTTTTCAGAGCACCTGTCTAGCCGAGGATGTCGTTTCGATCCGGCCGCTAAGGCGACTGCATTGCACATCGTCAAGGTGGAACGACATGGAGATACATGGCAAGCGACGCGGAGGAGAGTCGCATGGGCGAAGCAGACTGCAGGAAGAGGGGATGCCTGGAAGGCCGCGATGGAGATCAACCAGGCCAAGGACTCGCTGGGCAGGAGATCTGGCTTCTCCCCGGCGCAGAGGGTGCTGGGGAGAGACGTTCACCTTCAGCGCATCTCGTGGACGACGGCGAAGTGGAGAGGATCTGCGCCGCCGCGGCCTCGCCGACCCCGACGCCCAAGTTCGCAGGGAAGTGTGCGCCATGACAAGTTGCAAGAGAATATCACGCGAAGGTGGCCAGCGACGACGCCATCAAGAGAGCGGAACTGAGACAGATCCGACAGGCACGTGGACCTTTCAACTTGGGAGGCGACTGGGCACTCTACTACGACCAGAAGGAGCAGGGCAAGAGGCCCGAGAGCGTCATCAACAGGAGAGGCGTCGCAGGCGCGATCGGGCACGAAGGCAAGCGTGAGATCTGGATAGCGCACCGAGGCATCAGCATCACATGCGCCCCCGAGCCCCTTGCGAAAGCTTCCGACGAGGAGGTCAGAGCGCGGTCGGCAACGGCGCAGGAGGCGGACCTGATAGACACCACCGGCACGGCAGGAGGCAGCGGTTTCATCGACTTACGACGGCGGCCGGCACACCCGAGTTCCGGGGCGATGGAGGCCAGGTTCGACCAGAGCCGGCAGCGGCCCAGCCGCCACCAGAAGCACCGCCACCAGAGGCGCCACATCCTGCCGCAAGAAATGAGCCCCCTGAACTAGCGGCGAAGGAGGGACTAGTGGAGGAGGTGGCGACGGAGGACCTTTGCCAGGAGCCGCCTCCGACGCAGCAGGGGCCTTCGCCGCCGCGAGGGCCGAAAGTAAAAGTCGAGGGAGTTGCACCAGACGCGGGTCAGATGGACGACGCAGTGAAAACGCTTGTCAGGAAGAGAGAACGAGAACGCAATGAGCGGGCGGTTCCTATCAACGATCAACGCGGCCCCGATTT